AAAACAGAGAAGATAGGATTCTGAGTTAGGATGTTTCTGTAATACGATCACGATCCACAGACGGGTCGGGTTTCACAATAATGCGAAGTTATTCTAGATTCCTACCTTCTGTTCAGTAACCATGGAGATTTGGTTAGAAACATGATAGTATTCTGTCTGTATTTTATGGCCTCTGATCCTCACCTGTCCTGAAAGCTCAGGTCTCCGCTGTCTTTTGTAAATCCTCATTATTTCTCTTCAAAACACAAGATAAAGAGTCCCTTAAACCAGTAAACACTTGTAACCTGGCTTTAGCAGCTTAAATAAACCTTGGAAGTCTCGATAGAAAGTAAAAGTATCTACCAGCTACACGATTAATGAAATCGTTGTGGTTACCCACAAACAGAAAGCATCCAGTGGTACCAAAACTTCCTCATGATGGATAGTCTCAATTTCCTCCTGTTGTGGTAACTGTGATAAATGGCTTCAGTTAAAATCCACTTTTTCCTTGAGAGTCCCATTTAATCAAAATGCCAACTGCGTAATTAGAAGCAAATGCTAGTAATAGAGCTCAAGGTTGATATTGGCTAAAACCCTGAGAGCTGCCTAACTATTCATTCTTTACCTGAAAAGTTCTTACCCCGGTTATCTTGTTCCATATTTCACACTGTACATTTGTAACTACGAGCTAGCATTCTTATTTGCATATTTATCAGGTCAATAAAATGACAGGGCTATAATACGTGACCCTGGACCACAAAACCAGAAATAAGTTGCGCAGGTATAATTGTAGCAATAGTCAACAATACAGTGTTTGGGTTAAAATTGTCGATTTTTCTTTTATGCCAAAAATCATTAGGATATTAAGTAAAGATCATGTTCCATGAAGATATTTTCCTAAATGTCCTACCGTAAATATATCAAAACCTAATTTTTGATTAGTAATATGCATTAGAACTTCATTTTGACAACTTTAGAGGCGATTTTCTCAATATTTTGACAAACCATACATCAATAGAAAGCTTATTTATTCAGCTTTTAGATGATGTATAAATCTCAATTTCAAACAATTGACCCTTATGACCCTTATGTTTTTGTGGTCCAGGGTCACATATATCCAGAGGCGGACAAAGTACACAACTCCATTACTTGAGTGAAAGTACAGATACCGCTGGTCAAATATTACTCCATTACAAGTAAAAGTTGTAAAGACAGATTTTTACTTAAGTAAAAGTACAGAAGTACTTGCTTTTAAAAGTACTTAAGTACCAAAAGTAAATTTCCTTTTTTATGTCAATGCACTGTTTTATTGTTGTACGTACTAGTACTTGCAATACCTTTGAAGCAACTTAGAATACATTACACCTACTGAATACACTGACTAGCTTGTAGTATCTATGGAATAAAGTGCTTTTAAAATGTTAAAAACCTATGGGGAAAAAACGAAACAAAAAAAATATTATTTAACAGCCCCACAAAAGCAGGATGGTAGTGATCTCACACAGCTCTGACAGTGTGTGCACACATCTATGTGTAGCCATTCATCCACAATTGAACAGAGTGGACAGTGAAATGCTGTAAATACAGAGTGATAAAGAAGAAAAAAAACCTGCTTTAAAACCCAGCAACACAACTGTAGCTGCATAACTTTACAACAGCAACACTGCTTTAACAAAAATGCAAAACAGCAAGACTTATTTGACATCAAAACAAAAAATTTTAAAAATGCTGTCGAATCGCTCTCGCTGTACTTTGATGTCACACACAAAATGGTCTGCAGTGCTGCTTCAAGTTCAACACCTATTGTGTTTTATTAGGAGACACACAACAGTCCTTCTGTGGCTTTATAGGTAATATTTTCACTTACACAATTTAGCAAAATCAGACAATATTGTGTCTAATATAAACCACAATATTAACTTCTTATTATTGAATTGTTGTAAATAAATACCACATTTGGAACTGGTCAGTGCTCACAAGAAATGCTGGGAAATCACTTCATGTAGCCCCAAGAGTGATTACTGATAAACTGTCTAGAAAAAAAAAGAAGCACCCACTGACTTTCAAAGCTGCTAACGACTTTCTACTTCGAGGACCTTGATAGAAATGTAGTGGAGTGAAAAGTACAATATTTGTCTTTCAAATGTAGTGAAGTTAAAGTCATATGTTTCCAGAAAAAATTATACTCAAGTAAAGTACAGATACTCAAATAGTGTACTTAAGTACAATACTCAAGTAAATGTACTTAGTTACTGTCCGCCTCTGCATATATCTGCGTGGGAATTTCACCATCCAGATCCTCTCTGGTTGTGTTTTATCATCTAGTCAAGTCATTTTTACTTAAATAGCGCTTTACAGAATAGAATGTTTCAAAGCTGCTTCACGTCAATAAACAGGAAAATAAATCATGAAACGAATTCATTTTCAGCTGATCATCACTGCAGTTATCATGACACAACGCGTCAAAGTTTCTCAGACTGTACAAAGTCTATGAATATTTAATAAGTTGGTCACTGAGGCAGTTTGTGATTGGTTGTCTGTTGCTAAACAACATCTTAACATTCAAGCACAAGCAGTGCAAAGCGACGCTAATCCTCTTTCAAAATTACAAATATGAAACACAGCTTAACACAGGTTTAAAACTTGCATTTACTCAGGTTTTAAAAGGAAACCTCGGGTTCAGTGTAGTGTGACAAACTGTTGTCTCGGTCGGTAGCTCACTAGGTTTTAGCAATTAACAAACTAACCTGGCTTTACAGTCTTCAGACGGAGGGGTTCGCGAAAGTGGCGGATGACGGCGAGGGTGTCTCGGTTTGTCAGTCCGCTGACAGGCGTGCCATTCACCTCCAGAAGCACGTCTCCGGGACCAGGTAGCCTGCCGACATGGCACACTAACGCGTCCGACAACACCTGTCCCAGGTGCGGGAACTCTCCGTGCTCGGCTCCCCCGCGTATCTCCAGCACGGCGCTGAGCTCCCCGGCGTTACCCCACGAAACGGCGCATTCCTGCACTTTACTGGACCAATGTTTCTTCTTTTTCAGCGTCTTGGACATGATTAATCCCTTTAGTAAACGAGTCTTTGAAAAAAAAGGTTATTTCCTTATGTAAACGCGTTTAGAGCGCAATAAAGCAAAGCGACTCCATTCCCATGTCTTGGTGAAAAAAGAAACGTTTTAAAACTTCGGAGTCGGTCGGTCCTTGAAATGTATTCCCTCTATGGTTCAGTCATAATTCATGTACATTCATCTGAATTGAATCACGAGCTCACACGAAGGTAAAAGGGTTCTTCGTTGCCTCACCGCTCACCAAGAAGTGTCGCCAAATATCGTCTTCAAACGATCCAAACAAGCGCTTTCTAGGAGCAAAAGACACGGAAATAGCAATAAACTACCACCCGAGGCTGGACAGCTTGCTTTATCCAGGCACATAAAAATAATACAGCCTCAAATCGCTTCGTAATTCCGGCTGATGAATGAAACGCCGTAGAAAAACACTCACATCCGTGTGTAATCCCTCGCGATGCAGGGCGACTGTTGTTAACTTGGCTTTCGCGCACCTGTTCCAATGACATCAGCTACCGGCGCGTTCACGGCAAACGACGAACAACACTGTACCTGGATCTGCAATAGCCTACACGATACAAACTAGGTCCACTATCCGACGACCTTTGATTCTTGCAGAAACGCCCTCTTGTGTGCGTTGTTGTTGTCTGTGTGGTGCTGTCAGCGCCCGTCGGTGATTAACTGTAGGCGCAACTTTGTAGTCATTTTCACCTTGTTACTTGCGCCAAACGAGAGCAGGGACTGTCAGAGGCGCAGAGCGGACGAGAGCAGGGCAGCCAATCAGAGCGAGGGGGCGGGCTTTCCCATACTATTTACAATACTAAACGTAAAAAGCCTCTGCCACGCTTCCAGGCCTGAAGGGAATTTGTTAAAGAAAAGTTATATGTTAGGGAAAAATGCACTTGCTGCATTAAAAGTAAATGTGCTCATACAGAGTCTTTATACACTAGAGTCTAGCCTATATATAGATGATAGTAAGTATAAACCAGGGTTTTTTAAGCTTTACAGTCATCAAACCCTCCTACAGACTCTTAACCAATCCAACAGACCCTCAGTGATTTTCATGGTGAAACGTTGTAATTATTTTGATAATTAAAAAAAATATTTATTTGTGATGCATTCGTGTAGCAAAAATGCAGTTCAAAGTGTGCTTCGCATGAAAACAAACAAAATTACCATAATTAATAGAACATATGGTGAAACCACTTTTGTGAGTGTAAAGTTTTTGAGTTTAATTTAGAAAATCCATGAAATAGAATTTGAATTGTGTTATATAGGCCTATCTACCTATATAAATCTGTCTATTTAAACTCTCTCCACTTCACTGATCCCTGGATGTAAAAGAAAATAAATGAACAATTTCATAATATATTGTTCTGTTATTATGGTTTCATATGTTGAACGGCTAGTACCTTGTAATTTCACACCACCTGTTACACATTTTTGGACATCAGCATGATTTTTGTATACATATAGTGTTATTTTACAATATCAAAATGCCACTTCTTTCTTGCATTAAGAGTAGTTTTAGAAAGATAGCACAATTAAATACTACTATATAGCAGTCTTTGTTTCAGGCGTTAAAATCAGATTAAAGCTAAGCTTTCAGACATAATGTTGTATAATAGTGCCACCTGCTGTTGTAGTATAGAATTGCACTCGGTACATAGAGTAGGGTAACTTGTGAAGACGCCCCACAACAATTTACATTTATATGTTTTATTAAATAGCATATTTAGACAGACGTTCAGTATGTGCAAAATGATGAGGCAATAGAAACTGAATAATTTTACATTTCTTAAAAAAGACACAAAAACCTTAAATATTCAGCATACTGAATTTGATTGCAATTCAGAAAAGCAAACCACTCATGGCAACAGTTAAAATGGTTCTGTACTTAAGTTAATAATTAAGTCAGGTGGGCAGTCATTCACCCTCACGGTCATTGCTCTCAAAGTCAAAATCAAACCTTATGCTCAAACAAGTCGCTTCTACCAAAAGCAGCCAAAAAGATTATTTTCTACCTTTATTCCGGTAAGGTAAGGATGACATGCACTCACAATATACACACACATATGTATACAGCAAAGAAAACATGCTTGGAGCAAGAGACAGGAGCTATTTATATCCTCAGAGGTCCTCAAAAGTCTTTCACTTCAGTTCTACTAACATACATGCTGTATTTTTGAAAGATCGTTCAATTGAAATGATTGTGCTAATGTCATTTGTCACGCCAGTTTTGGAAATGTTAAAGGGACACCCTTATGGCTGTACAGGCCCAACGCAACAGCTCATCTGGCTCTGACCCAATCTCTTGTAAGAGTCTATTTTTCTTTCAGTACTTACAATCAAGTCTAACGTACTTTTAATGCTTTCACATTTGCTGTTATACGAGGGTAAAATTCTGCTTTGTGTTTGCATGAATGGACAGATGAAGAAGGATCAGGTCCATTGGCAATCATCATTATCCCAAGCTTGCTGGCTCTCAGCACCCTGATCGTTGTGTCTCAGATAATATGGAGCTTTATTACCAAAAGATCATCAGCTCAGATTATCACAGGCTCATCTTCAAATGTAAATGGTATGGGAAGGGAAAATGATCTATCATGTTGTTTGAATGCAAATATTAGATGGCAAATATTTGGTGCTTGGTTTTTTGAGGGCAAATCATGAGAAATAGTATGTTGAATCAACTTTTAGAAGGGGACCCTGTACCTTTGGACACAGGCTTTGTGAACATGCGGCCTGCACAGGATGCTCTGGATCCATGGGATATACCTGCTCAGTGCACTCTGGAGGGGGTGGAGCCGTTTCAGATGGGACGTTATGGGCCAATCTGCACGGGTCAGCTAAAACAAGACAACACATCCACTGCTGTAGTGATTAAAACTCTTAAAGGTACAGAACACAGATCAACCATGAAAAGGTGTCTTTTAAGAATTTACCACAAAACTACAAATGTTGGATATATCTTCTTGTTTCAGAAGGGTCAAATCAACCGGAGGCTACTGAATTTGTGGATTTTGTCCTTTTCCACGTAGCAGTGAGCAAACATGAGAATATAGTCAAGATGTTATACTGCCAGACACGCCGGATGCCCATGTACCTGGTTTTGGAGGCAAGCGTTCCAGGGAACCTCCTGCATTTTCTCTGGAGTCTTCGAGAGGTAAAAACACCTACAGTATACAGTATACTAATGATTAAATAAATTTAGCGGTATTACCTTAGAGTTTCACCCCAGTGACAGCCCACCCCATTTGTTCCTTTTTTCTGAGAGTGTATGTTGACAAAGAATATACATCTCATAACTCAATTTTCTTCTGAATGTAACTCTTACTGAACAGGACAGATGTGGCACAAGTGATCATTTCCAGATGTTTTCAGAGAGGTCCGTTTATCTTGTAGCTAAACAGGTAGCAGCAGGACTGGTGAGTTGTTTAGTCACTGTGTACACATACTTAGTAAAACTAAAATTAATTGTAAGACATGTATAAATTCTTTAAATGATTTATTAATGATTTTTCTTAGGACTATTTACTCTCCTACCACAGAATTATTCATGGGGATGTTGCAGCCCGGAACATGCTGATTGGTTCAGGGCTCTCTGTGAAAGTCTCTGGATTGGATTTGGCTTTTAAGAGCCGACAGTCGAGAACGGTGGACAAAGAACAAGAAGCCAATGTGCCGGTAAAATGGAAGGCCCCTGAACGGATGATGAGGCTTCCCCTAACAGACAGAAGTGATGTGTGAGTCAATCAGAACTTTAAACAACAACAACAAAAACATTTTCTAACAAATACTGCACTTTGACCAATGTGCTAATGTTGTGCTGTCGTACTTCTTCAGATGGTCCTTTGGAATCCTGCTTTATGAGATGATAACCCTGGGTAGTATTAGTTAGAAATCCTAATACACCAGTTGCCACTTGAAAAGAAAATGTATAAAAAAATACAATGAAGCAAACAAGATAGGAGTCTTATTTTTACCTTCCTTCTCCTTTGAAAGGGTCTCCTCCCTATCCTGACCTGGATCCATCTGAAGTGCTGCCAAACACTTTAGCCCATTACCGAATGAAAAGACCAGAAAACTGTGGAGCCCCATTGTAAGCCTTATATTTTACATAACATGTAAATAGTTGTTTTGCTCCTCTATGAACAGCAAGTGTTTAAGAAAATGGAAAATCCTATTAAAACAACATATAAATGACATTTTCTGGCATGTCTTGCAGGTATGACTTAATAAAGTACTGCTGCATGTGGAACTTCAAGGACCGGCCTGTGTATTCTGCCATTATTTGGCTTCTAGACTCGTACAAATACTTTGCTGACACAAAACCACTTTGCGCTGGACAGCAAATGGACATCTGTGAATACAGGAGGAAAGCAGGACTGCCTCCATGAGATCTACTCAATCAAAGAAACAATTAATTGATCATTTCTACATTGCATGAAAATGGCACAATTGATTCAGTTCCATTAAGACTGACATCAATTAATAATAATAAAGTCTAGCCTTGTCACGACCAGCAGAATGTCACTAGAGGTCGCCTTATTTCTTGAAACTGGAGATTACATGCATAGTGGTCAACTAAAATTTATTTAAATGTTTCCAGCTAAATAAATTTGTTACTAATGTATAATGAATGTATATGTAAATGTATGTATATATATATATATATATATAAAATACATAAACGTAATGTATTATAATAAAAATATAAGAAGCTTTTTGAACCTTTGTCATTTTACTTTTTTTCATTGAAGTGGTGGCTAAAGCCATGTTATTTATCTAAAGTAGGGTGACCATATAGCCTCTTTTTCTCATGTATGTCCTGGCAGGTGATTTCTAAATTTCCTAAAGACTCCAAGTGTTGGCTTTTTTTCTGTCTCTCTGTGGACATTTACAGACATTATAGACCCAGTCAATTCCAATTTCAAACATCCTGCAGTATTTTGATGGAAATAGATACCTTGATACACTTTTGAAAAGGTTACACCTGCTACATCCTTTGGTGGTTGACCTCTAAAAAACACAAACACAATTCTTCTTAACACCACTAAATTTTAATAAAAAGTAACCACAAGTGGTGTACAGAACACAAAATAATGCCTCAATACTGTTATGTTGCAGGGTATCAACTTCCCACTGAACCTGTGAACAGTACATAGCAAATTCAATGGAAGATCACTCGCTAAACACAAGCAATTACTGATAACTGTGAGTCAGGAAGCAGAACCCCTTAAAACAGAGGTTAAATGGTACAGATGAACTCATTTATCAAAATTAAATCAACCACCATGTTGTTACGAGGCATTTGTTTCAAAGGCCCACCTAATATTATATGGGACATAAAGTATTTTAGGTCACACATTAACCAGGCAATAGATAAACTACAGTATATGATGATAGCCACTACCTTAATCATACTGCAGTGTTTTTACATGAAATTACACAGATCATATGCATAAAATTCCCTTTTTTTAATAATTAAGCAGAAATTGTTATTATGATTGAGAGTGGAGTTTCGGATTGTTTCAGATTTTTTTCAGTTTCATAAACAACCAAAAAGCAGTAATTCTACAAGTATAAATTCCACAGCAAATTTGACGATCTCTACTTTGCTTCTTGACTTTTTGATTCGTCAAGAACTGTGCAACAAACACCACACATCTACTGTGTCTCTGTCAACATGCCATGCAAACACATGACAATACATGTGAAGCAGAGGTAAAGAGCATTTCTCATCCTTAGCGATGAAACATCAGCAGCAATCAAGATGTCCGTAAGCCTCCTAGATCATGTCAATTTCATGAAGTTCATCACCTCAAAACAAAAATGATTTAAAAATTGGGTAACACTTTCTATGAAGCCCATACTTATAACACATTATAAGGGTATTCTTAAGGCATTATAATGAATGCATAATGCATTATAAAAGACCTTATAATATGTTATATCATCTTATAAATAATCATAACAACAATTATAATACATTATAATGCTTACGCATTTGTGGTTATAAGCTTTAAGATTATGATTATTTATAACACACAATGAACACCATATAAAATCTATTTTTACATTTATAATGGACTATATATCTTGACATTGTTTATTTAAGATATGCACAGTATCTTACTACATCTTGTAAGTGGTAAGGTGTGGAGTGTTATTTAAGTGTTCCCTGTGAGGCTAATATTAATTTTGATGTGAGCTAGTTAATAATTTCAACTTTAAAAAAAAGCAATGTTTATATGTTAAGTTACATTTTATTTTGAATGTCCCCCTTGTCTATTGCCTATAAGCAACTTTGCAACTACAGGTCAACTAACTCTCATTAGAGTATTAGTAGGCTTAGGTTAAGGTTAGGGTGGGTAGAATGTTGACGTACTTGCAAAGTTACTTATAGTCAGTTTGTCTGTT